GCCTGTCTGCCTGTGTTCTCTGACGGTGTGTGTGCGTTTGAGCCTGTCTGCCTGTGTTCTCTGACGGTGTGTGTGCGTTTGAGCCTGTCTGCCTGCGTTCTCTGAGAGTGTGTGTGCGTTTGAGCCTGTCTGCCTGTGTTCTCTGAGAGTGTGTATGCGATTGAGCCTGTCTGCCTGTGTTCTCTGAGAGTGTGTGTGTGTTTGAGCCTGTCTGCCTGTGACAGTCTGTGTGTGCCACCTCACAGAGCATGGCCCCCATGTGCAGAGGAGAGTGAAGACCATCGTGGAGGAGATAGTGGACGGCCAGGTGGTGTCCTCCTCTGTGGACGAAAAAGTCCATGACATCGCCCTTCCCTACTGAGAGAGCAGTGTTTACTGCCAGGCACACAATCCTAGAAGCACCATTTTAATCGTGACCTGAACAAAGAAGAGCTCACAACTGCTGAACAGAAGTGCCTGATGATCTGTATATTCTTCCTCTTCCACCTCCTCCTCCTCTTCCTTTAATCACAATTCTCTCAGGTTCTGTTAAAGCCCACTGGAGGAGTGAGGACATGTGGCTTTGGATTTATTGTGATTAAAATAGTTTCTACCATGCTGAATTATTCCGTCTTTCTTAAAAAAAAACAACCCAGGCATACAACACAAATATTCTAAGAAATGAACAGACACAGCTGAACCTTTGTACTTATCCTGGTGTGTTGTAACTCAAGCAAATGTGCTAAAAAAATCTTAATAAATACTGCAGAACTAAGAAAAAGAGAACGTGGTCATGTTTCAATGCATTAATTCAACGAAAAGTCATTTGTTCATCCTGATCGCAAAATATGGCACCTTTCATAATACATGATATGTCATTGCAAAATGGCCTCCCATTGTTCATAACCTTCCTTAAATTGGCAAACAGCCTACAGAAGAGACAGGCCTAGACAAATGAAGTCAGAAAATAAAAGAGTTCAAGGTCAGAGAGTAAAAGAGAGTTTTAAGACGCATAGTTCCCAGACACTAGCAAGCTGACGGAAGAGTGTTGAGCGAGCAAGTTCCACACAGCGCCAACAGGGGGAGCTAATCGAGAGAAGGTGCATGCTGTGCTCCTCGGTGCCAGGAGAGGGCGCCATCTGCGCACAGACTACAGTCAAGAAAATTGATCAGTCTACATGACACTGCTATTGTTTTTTAATTTGTTACCAGTAGTTCTATAGGGGTTCCTAATTTTTTTAGTTAAGGAGTTAAGGAATTTATTTATTAGAATTAAACGTGGTTAAAGAGGGACAAAGATCCTCAAGGAGCACAAACCTGTGTTAAACGTGGCACGGGGTATATCACTTTATCTCTGCAAGAATACACACTGTCTTGCTTACAAATGTGGGGGGAGGGGGCTCGGCTAGCAGTTAGAACCTATTCCAGCTCCTAGCCAGCACTCTGAGTGGAAATATAATTGCACATGAGTAATTCTAAATTATTATTTTTTTGTATTTTTTTGATTGGATTTTATTTTTATAGCATGCAAATCAATTTGGAATCCTTAGCGCATTTTAATTTCTGCTACAGTCTCTGTGTCGCACTGAGTATCAGTCTTTACAGTATATTTAAAGAAAATCATTTTATGTGCCAATTTAGTGCCCTGGATTTTCATTGACAAAATCTGTCATGGTGCATTAAATAAATGTTGACCAAAAGCAGTAGCTATGAGAGATATGGACACACCTGAAGAAGGGTCCATGGCCGAAACATTGTGTTTTCTTCCTTCTTTTTTTCAGCATGGAATAAACCTATTACTTGTTCCTTTGCAGCCTACGCATGCAGACGCAGCTACCCACCTGGGCTCTGAGAGATATTATGTTTTCGTGCTTGGATTAAGTCCTATGATTCTGAGCAGGAAAAAATGAACATGGGAAGGCTGTTAGTGTTAGAGTAAGGTGGAGGAGAGACCTCTGTTCGCCAGAGTCCATCTCTGCCCTTGTGTCATGTCTGCCCCATGGGTGCTGAGTGACCACTGTGGCTCCCAGCTCCAGGGCTGATGCACTGTCCACACTCTGCAGCGGTTAGCAGTTAGAAACTATTCCAGCTCCTTGCCAGCGCTCTGACAGGGTGAGCTGTCCTGGGCTCTGGAGTTCCCAGACAGCTCTGTAGGAGACCCATGCCTGTATTTTCACAAGACCAAGACCTTGTTTTTCCTAGATGCAGAATTCATCAGGAATTCCTCTTTGTTCCTGGATGTGAGCTAACGCAAACCGGTGTCAGTGCAGTGTAGTGTCTGTCTCTGATCTGCATGCTCTGTTTCCCTTGACAATATACACAGGCAGGCACTGTCAGAGCATTCACGTGAAGCAGCACTGTATCCTAAGCAGTGTGCATAATAGGCTGCAGTACAATACAGAGGTATAAACACTATACAGGACCATACAGAGGTTTACAATACAATACAGTACAGTACCCAGGTGTACAAGACAATGCAGCACCATATAGGGGCTTACAATACAGTACAATGGTGTAAAAGACCATAACGTACACAGGTGCATTTGTAGAATTATATGTTGAAATATGCCCACAGCCTTTTTAGGGCTTCTCATGCCAGGACAAATGTGCAAATTCTGGGGGTTCTACAAAGGGGTGCCTGTGGACCTCATTTAACATAACGTAACATCACTTTATTAGCCCTGTACAATTTCTTGCATTAGGAATTTGTCTTTTCGCAGACCCCAGCTTGCTCTCCATGAGGCACAGACAGGGAGAGAAGCTGGGGGTCAGAGCGCAGGGTCAGCCATTGTACAGCGCCCCTGAAGCAGTTGGGGTTAAGGGCCTTGCTCAGGGCCCCAACGGAGTAGGATTCCTCTGCTGGCCACAGGATTTGAACCAGCAACCTTCCAGCCACAGGTGCAGATCCTGAGCCACAGAGCCACTGCTCCGCCATTTACTCTGGGCCACTCTGGCTAACACGAGATGCTTCTGACTGCCCACTCAAACTCTGCAACACACCTGTATTCTCTCAGCTGTCTCCTCCATGGTGTTCACTGCTGAGAGGGGAGGGCTGCCTCTCTGTTTGTGCTGTAGCTCCAGGGAAGAGCTGTGTTGGACACACTGAGAGAGAGCCCACACTGAGCTCTGCTGCTCTGGTCTGTAGTTTTCACAGAGCTGCAGGGTGGGGCGCCGAGCGTCCTCGCAGGGTGTTAACGACGGGAGAACCAGAGCAGGGCTGAGCTCTGCTGTGCTTTCCATGTCTTCCGCCAGAGTCCACAGGCAGCACCTGGGCTGCTCTAGTGGCCCAGCTGAAGAAAAGCACCAAGGCAGCCCAAGTGCATAGAGCAGAAGTAAGAGCAGTGCCTGGTGTGAGGTGGAAGGGGGAGGAAATGCTCCTCTCTTTGTTAAAAGAACTGGTTTCGTTCGAGAACCAGCGGGGTGAGGGGGAGACAGATTCCTGTCCTTGTGCCAGGGCTCAGGACACACCCAGACAGACCAGTTCTTTCCTGCTCACGGAGTGCAATCATCTTGTCAGGATCGATGACTCAGGGCCCCCGTCCTTTGATAACTGCTCTCACACATAATTGGAATTGCAGCTGAAAGGCAAAAAGCGCTTAGAGGCAATACAGTAAGAGCTCAATAGCTGCTCGTTACCTGTGCCATTTAAAAAAAAAAACCCAGGTGAACAAGTCCTTTCTGGAACAGTAGAGCAAAGGTTTTGCTGAGCTCTGTACAGGGCACAGCTGTGGAAATATAATTGTACATGAGTAATTCTAAATTATTATTATTTTGTCTTTTTTTGATTGGATTTTATTTTTATAGCATGCAAATCAATTTGGAATCCTTCGCGCATTTTAATTTCTGCTGCAGTCTCTGTGTCGCACGGAGTTTCAGTCTTTACAGTATATTGTCTTCTAAATCGCTGTGATTTTCGTAAAAGCAGTCATTTAAAGAAAATTCTTTTTTACGCAAATTGAGTGCACTGGATTTATATTGACAAAATCCGTAATGGTGCATTAAATAAATGTCGACCAAAAGCAGTAGCTATAAGAGATACAATGTTTTCGTGCTCGGTAATCCTAGACTTCATAGTCTTATGAATTCTGAGCAGAAAAATAACATGGAAATGCGCAGCCATCTCACTCCTCACACCAGATCCAAAGGTGAATAAAACTGCAATAGATTAAAAACTTAAATTCATTTAAGCATAATTTTAGTTTATGGTTTGTTAAACTGATGTGTATTTCATTTGCTTTTATAGAGTACTTTTTAACTCTTTGAAAGTTAACTCACATTTGCATGATCAGGGCGTGTCCCCTGTTCTCTCCAGAAGCCTCTCCTGCTCTGTTGTGTAACTTAGTTGTCTAGTTGTGTCACAAGACCAAACTGACCAGACCAGTCTGATGACACTGAAGTGTTGCAGTGTGACAACACTCTTACTGGAGCCACACTCAGCTGGGGGATCTAGTTTCTTATGTCCAGCTGCTCTTGTGAGGCCCTGAGGTCCCTCTGGGTGCCCACACGTGGGAGCAGTGTGCCAGAAGACTGCACCTGCTCTGGCATCAGGCTCCCTGACTCAGTGACTGAACCGATCCGTTCTGCAAAAGCATAGCCTTTGGTTAATCTGTGTTCATTGATATCACTTCTCAGACTTCTAAGACAATTTGGGGAGAGCGTTTTCATGCTTACAGCTGTTAGTAAACATTCTTTGGAAACGCCTGGTAAGGTACAGTACTTCATGAGAGATCCTTGGTCCCATGTATGAGAGCTCAGAGGTTTCCCTCTCTGCAGCACTTTGAGAAAGTGGTTGAAATGCTGTACATGTCAGCAGAATGTGCAGAATTACCAGGGTGTTACCTCCTGCTCTGTGATGTTTGGTCCCTGAACAAGCAGGTGTGCAGGGCCTGGGGCAGCTCAGGTGTGTCCACAAGAGCCCTCGTAGTCCTGCCTTCACTCTGCTCATTTTCCTAAGTGTGGAAAACATCTGACTCCCATTTCCATAAAACACACTGGGGCTCTGTAGTGAAATGGAAGGAGAATAACACTTTGTGGACATTAAATACTCAATAACAGTGCTGCGTGTTGTGCTGCAGAGACCTGCTCTCTCCACAGAGCAAGACAGTGAACATAAGCACTGATACTGATGAATCAACAAGTGTTCAGATGGACAGCACCTGACAGTAAAACAGATGGAATTCTGCAGTTTTCCAACAAACTGGTTTTTCTCATTGTTACATCAATCTTTTTTGCGCTGCCTTAGTTTTCTTGTGCTTTACAAGCTTTATTGTGCTTCTGCCTTTGTATTCCACAGTTTTAAGGGTAGCAGATTTGTACACAGACAGGTCTACAGACAGATGAGAATATAGTTAATCGCTGTGCACAGCTGATCCGAGCTCATTC